TTTCAAACTACTTGCATTCATTCTGAAAAAGTGTGTAATTTTATATTTTCAGCTTTATAAGAAATCATCATTTCATACACTCTTTTCTCTAAGAGTTCTAGCCAACTTTCATTCTAATTCTTCCACCTAAATTTTTTGTCACAATTGATTTCACATATAAGTTTCTCCATTAGACAATTAGTCCCTAAAAAGGACCAAATATATTGGTTGACACCCTATTCCATTTGTGGGGAATGAAAGCAATCAGGTCACTAGGCAACCACCAACTCTGAGTCCAGTATTCAATTCACCTTACCTACAACAAGATTCAAACATTCTGAGTTCCATATCTTTCATACTAGAAAACCATAAATAATTCTCACAAAGAATGAATATTTTTACCACTGACTGCCTGAAATTTCCAGCTCTTGTTTCTTACATTCAAACCCCACATAACAATCTTTTTCTTTTAACCTACGTAAAAGACAGATAATTAAACAACTTACCACAACCATAACACTACTCCTATTACCAAACAAACAGGTTTATAAGACATAGGTGTTACATTTATAAACAGTGTTTCATACTTTTATGCAGCCAGAGCATAGTGCATAGTCATCACTGCATAGTGACTTTCACATAGGTAGTAATCAGATTTTCCTATCAATAAGAAAAATGCCTGGAAAATAAGGAGGAATAAAATATAGAGCTCTCACGGTTTCTTCAGCACAAGAACAGAAGATCTCTGTGAAGCAGGACAGCCAGATCTGGAGACCCCTTTCGTGGTAAACAATAACGCCAAATCATCTGTGTTATGCTGTATTTGCTATGCCATCTGATCTTTTCATGTCTGACAGTTAAAAACAGTGTATTGGACCAAAGACAGTGAAGATCAAAGTGATTTTTATTTCCTCACCTCAGTGAATGGTTTCTCTAAGAGAGAGGAGTGCATAATAACTCAGAAGGGAAAGCCGCTCTCAGAGGAAAGCCTGTGTGGTTTAACGGGGAAGGCTTGTACTATCTTGTTTCTACTCAGAAGACAATATTCAGCTTAAAAAACAAGAGAGTGACAACAGATAACGTTATCTAGTAAGACGATTCAGAACTGTAACATTTATTTTATCTCTTCAAAATATATACTTATCTAGCATAAAAATAACTAGATAAAATTATTTAAATAAATGAAGATAATCTCATGACATTTACTGTACTTTCCAATTATTATTATTGCTTATTTTCTTTCTCAGAAAATTCAAAGCACCAAATTCAATCCCAAGTTCCACAATATGTTAAAACATCAAGATCTTTTTCAGCCTATTTTTTTTTGTACTTTGTTTGCATTGATAACCGGCTCTGAAAAATATGCAAGTTTTAAGTCTTTATGTAGCCTGACAGTTAGTCACTACTTTTACTGTGGTCTTTTTTGCTCTTTAGTGAATCTCATTCACCTCATTATCCCTCATGACAGATGATAAGCAAGATAATTTTATATACATAATATAATTTTTTGGCTTTAAAAAAATAACATTTACAACAAACTAACTTATAGCTTGAAATTGCAGGTAATCCCTTAATTGCTTTTTTCAGTCAAAGAAAAAAGATGCCTAAACTTGTCTTACATGCTCTAATTTCCATGTCATATAATTTAGCAGGAAATATACTCATGGCCTAACACAAATGCATGCATCTCCAAAGACAAAAATACACACCTCAGTTTAACAAAAAAAAAAAAAGCATGAAAATAATCACGGCAAATTTACAGCGTTTAGAGAATTAGGTATAGACTACTGAGTTTAATTGCTGCTTCAAAAGAAACAGAAATGGGAAGTGTCAGGTACCCTGTTCGAACATCAAGAGCTAGGAGACTTCTTTTTACAGTGATGGTGATTCTGATCTAGTATTGGTGTCCCAAAACAAGAAAAACAATATACAATGTATGACTTTACATCTGCCACAGATATTCCACACATCACAGAACACAAAAGTACATTTGCAGACAATGATATCTCAAAATTTGAAGGTGCTCACAACAGTTTGAAAAGTACTATGGGCAACGTGTGAGGACATCAGAATACCCTGGAGGACTTCAAGTGACACATCATGTTACTGGGTGAACACACTGTATACCCTATAAAAATACTTTCATTCCCGGGTCAGAACTTTCAGAAAAGTCTCTTTGCAAAAAGAAAAAAAAAATTGCTTAGGAATTAATTCACTTTTCTGTTCAGAATATTTCCCTTAAATACAGAGATTCAAAAACTTCAGAGTGCTGAGAAACAAAGGGAAATTGTGCTGTTATTCATAGTTTATTGTATGTAGTATGCAAAGAATAACCATATTATTCCTCCTGACTCTAAATAACTTTTTGCTCAACTTCTGCCATAAAAGAATAATTTCCCGATCTTTAAGAACTGTAATCTTTAAACTCACCTGCTGCAAGTTGTGTATGTATTTGTTTATGAGGACTAATACTTCCTAGATACAGAAAGCCTTAGACAATGCACCAAAAAAATTGACTGAAGTCTGCTGATGGAAGATTTATCCATTTTTAGCAAATGTCAAATCACTGGCTATTGCTTTTAAGATTAATAAAAGATATAATGGTTTCTAGATAGCCTCTAAATAAAGATTACTATGAATGGAGAAATGATTTACCAATAGTCACCACAATGATATTTCTTTAAAGGTTACAATCATAAGTTATTTAGCTGAAACACTGCTGAGAATGCCTGGTCATTTCTTGAATAATGCATAATGTTCATTGTAGATCTGATCTGTATTATAACAATAGATATTTCTAAAATAATGGAGAAATCTGTTACTTTCCAATTGCTCAAGATATTTCCATGAAGTAATTGACTCTGAAAATATTATATGGAGTCACCTTAGAGTTCATTTGCAAGCAAAACTCATAGCGATCACTACACAATAGGCATAAGAGAACAAACTCATCATCTTTCATAGACTTTTCAGGAAAGCTGTGACAAATACAAGGCAGAGTAAAGGACCTTTATGAAATCCTAAATTAAAAGGTATAAGTTACTGTACAGTACTGGGGAACAAATTTTAAACTAAGCTTTGAAATTTAATTATTAACACAAGCAGACCACCACATTGGGTAGGGATGGGGGAAGAGGAAGTGAGGGAGAGAGTGAAAAAAAAAGCAGTTCCGTACACCCTATACCATTCATATAGTTTTTGAAATATCTTTGAGTCTATTCAGGAGATTGCTTGGGCATGAATGAAGTATAATGTCTAATGTTTTATTGTAGGAATATCAACTATACTCCATACAAAGCTGCTAACTATTTAAATGAGCTTGTTTATCCTTATGAATTTCCTCAAGGGCAGCAAAAGTGACCTTAATAAATGAAAATGAATTTCTTTTGATGTTATTTCATGAATGTTTGATCAGAATGTGTTAACAGGACTCCACATAAGGAGAACTGGTGAAGCAATAAAATATACTTCTACTATACAGTTAATCCCGCTTATAGTGAATTCATATACAAAGAAACACCATTTATTAGTAATAATTATTATTTCAATATTCTGACAAAAAAAAAAAAACAAAAAACCAATCCTAGTTAGTATAAAGAAACCCCACTCAAATATTATCAAAAGCAAAAATCCTTTTTTATCCCCTACATAGCCATTATGCTTAGAGGAATGTGAATTAACTCATCAGAGGTTGGAAAGACACTAACTGTTTACGCAAGCTTTTTACAGGGAGGAACAAGACCTTAACAAGAACTTAACTTAGACCAGACTAGTTATGCTGTTATCTAGGAATAAGGTTTAATTTTCCCTCAAAAATCTTTCCTTTGTCAGAATCTTTGCCCAAAAGGAAGCGTCAGTATTCAAATATATATTCTTATTCCACAAGAGGATAACAAGAAACAAATCTCAGGTAGTCTGAAAATATACACAGAGATGAGACCACTTTCTACAGCACAGGACATCTAGTAGAAGCTTAGCTATACGAATTTTGGGAGGAATTATCTATTTCAATAGATAGATCACAGATCCTGGAGCAAGTTCACTTTATATCCAGCTTGAAACAGTTGCTTAATTACCAGACGGCTCATCCTGGAAAAGGGGTGAACACTTGCATATTATATAAGAAGGCTGATGAACCATGTTATACTCATGCACTGGATGATGCAATTATCCTTTTTTTTTTTCTTCACTAAAATTATACATGGCATGGCAGACAATATAAATGAAATAAACGAAGTGATGCAAATATATCCAACTAATAAATCATCAGTCCAAAAGTCCTTCAGTTGCTGCCCTTCACGTCTATCTCCATCCACTGAAAATTATAACTTTGCTTTACTGATCTTTCTTCCTTTAAATGAAAGAGCAACTAAAAGCTCCTTTCACTGGCAGTACCAGTAACCCTTTGTGGGCATTTCTGGTTTAATAAGCCACTAGTTTGTAATACTTATCAAGTATCAAGTTTCTTCTTCATAAATAGCATAAGTAAAAAAATTACACAAAAATGTTCAGTTTATACAAGTCACTGGAAACCCTAGTTAGGAACAATACACATATAACCTCTAAAATCAAAGACTTAAAAATTTTGATGTTACGTTCATGAACTAGAAGACACAATTCTGCCTTTAATCTTTAATTATGGAAATTAAGTGATTGTTTGAGTCCTCACATCAAGAAATAACACCACGTTTCCCTCAAATACACCCATTGATAAAATATTAAAATAGGAAAAACAACATGATCATTGCTAGATAACTTCGAACAGTTAAATGTATGCTACCCAAAAGACTTACTGTTGTATTATTTATATCAGAAGGTTTGTTGTTAAATAAAAATAAATAAAAGAGGTTTATTTCACCTTCACATGGTGTCTTTCTCATGCAGACCTCAGATTTCCACATTTGTATCCCTTTAAAGGATTTGATATGCAGGGAAAGAAGAAAGGATGATGGTAAAAATTTCAATTTAGAGGTTACTAAAGGCTGCCATAGCCGATACAAAACAATGTATTTAGGCCATACCTTTTACTGATGTATTAGGTGGAGGTCCTTCCATTCTCAAGTTCCATGGAGGATCACCTTGATTAGCAAAGTCCCTCATTTTCAGATAGCTAATTGTAAGTCGAATGATGGATGCCTTGTCAAGCTGGCTGGTAATGGCTGCAGGCAGTGGCAACAACTTTGCCAACTCATAGAATTCAAAATTCTCCTTTCCCCGGCGAGAGCGAGCAGCATCTCGGGACTTTTCCTTTCTCAAAGCCTGTAAACTGAAGAAAATAAACAAAGTAGGACATTCATCAATATTAGTGTTATGTCATATATAATGAACTTGCTTTTTCATTGCTGATTTTCAATATACATTATGACATTTTAAAAGTGTTGTGAATGGATGTACAGACTACAGGATACATTTAATGGTACTCCAATCTTTGAATAATTAAAACTAATGATAGTGTTTTATTTTTAGTTGTAGACATGTTACATAACTGCTCCTATCTCATTTCATCCACTCTCTAATTAGCCTGTCCTTTATTTTTCTGCTGCCAGCCTGAAGAAAGGATTCCTAAGAATCCTTTATCTACACAGATGCTACTGCTTCTTCTGACCCACTAAAAACTATCTTCATCCAAATTTGTACCAAATTCTGACTCTCATGGGAAAGGAGGTGTGTGCTATCACTGACAGGGGTTGCTGTAGCGGCAGTCAATATGACCAGACAGGCTATAAACTTCTGTGGCTCAGAAGCTGCTTTAAAGTCTGGTGTAATAATGCAAACCTACTGAGATTTCAAGAAGTTAATCTTTTTGTGACTTGTTTAGCTGGCCTTGCTGTTGAAACAGTAACCATTTTCAGAGATTCAAGAAAGCAGTTAATGGAGTTACGTGCTTCATTTTTTCCAATTTTAATTCAACATCACATAGGACAGACTCCTACGCAGCTTTTTGGATTAGAGAGACCCTTCTGCTTTATGCAAAACAGGTGGATACGCAAGGACACTCATTTACTTCAGGTTTATTAAGGTATTTCTTGCTACCACCCATATACTAGGCCTAAAATTAACTCCGATTTTACTCCTGTGCTACTTAATTTGTGTACAACATCTGAACACACATTGAGAAGACACTGGATCATCAAGGCTGTTGTCTTCCCCTGATTTTTTCCCAAAAGTCAAAGAAAACTCAAGTTTCAGTTTCTTTCTTTCTTTGTTAATATCTGATATAATTGCGTTACAAGAGAAAATGGATTCACACTGTTCGTTGTGTGGTTTGAAACAAATGAACAAATGCACAGTAAACTTACCAGAAGATTAAGAATCAATGTACAAACAATAAAAAGAACAGGTATGAAACTTTTTTCCTCCTCTTCTAAGGGGTTTTTTGGGAGACAAACTTTTCAGCTTAGGACAAGTCTCGACTGTACATTTTACCCACATCTTGGTAAATAGAGATTGATGCTGATGTTTGTGTCTACCAGTCAGTTCTAGACCCTCAAAAAGGATGTATTTTTACTTTGTTTTGTTTGATTACTTATTAATTGCATGAAATTACAGTCAAAATTCCATTAAATACCCATTGGTTTAAGAAACAAATTTGAATACAACTAGTGTGTAATGAAACAGCAAATACTTCTCTCAAGCTTCTACAACTCTTATTGAAACCTTGGTTTTCATTACAGAATAGTCTACAAAATCACTACAGCTTATGAAGTAGATTAGACAAGTAAATTTAAAACTACGATTCTGAGACTCCTATTCACCTTCTAACTTGGGGATGACTTAAACTACAGAAGAGATTATCTTGTTTTAATATTCTTACCTATGTACATTTTTTGCAGCTATCTCTGCCTAAGATACTCCTCAGAATTGAAAGGGCAGACCACCAATGCATCACACTGCCCTGAGAATGATTAAAAACTTACATTCTCTACACAATTATATACTAACAACTGTATTTTTAAAAACAGCTAAGGAATACAGGCGGTGAATGATCAGACCACCAGTAAGAAATACCATCTATTTATCCATAGATAAAGATACAATGCTCTATTGAATTCCATATTAAAAAATCTACTTGTCTTTATGAGCTGTAACTTAACAGCTCACAGCTAGATTGAAATTTACAAGCTATATACTAAGTGACAAATGAGACTTTTGAAATTGAAAGGTGTTAGGAATTGAAAAGTGATAGAATATTCTTTAGCAAAACCTAAAACTGAAAGCACAGTTTGCAAATCCTGTACAATGTTCAGAAGATTGCTAAAACTGAACAACGTATTGCAATATAAGCTTATATAATGCATTACTGGATTGTTAAGTTTTGCAATCTCAGTCAATTCAGCTGAAAAACAGGGCTCTCTGTTAAATAAACAGGTGGCTTTCAGAGCCATCTAAGTGTATTCAAACTTCTAGAATAAAAAAAATCCCAGCATACAAGTGATGGGAAATTAATAAATGTATGAAAGCAACTCTAAAGAAGTGGTAATATCAGTAAACATGGCTTTCCTCCCAGCCATACTGTATACTGCTCTTTGTGAAAATACTAACAAAGTTAGTCAAATCTAGAAGTTTGTAAGTCTTGGCATCAGTGCATTTTGCTAAATTTAGCAATGATGTCTGGCAAAAAGTGCATATAAGTCTCAATTTCTCTACCATGCAGTTCTACCAATAGACAAATTGTGGTAGTAGTATTGGACACCAAAGTTACACTGATACAATGGGTCCTTAATTTAGTAATAGCAATTTCCTCAGCAGAATGCAGGAATTCATTAGATATGCCCTGAACATCTTTGGCACCTGTGATTCTGATAGGCAACATCAGCTTCATCATTGGATGTTCGTAACAGAGGAAAGTGCTGGCACTGACCATCCTAATAATGTGATATAAGAGGTGTGAAGCTCACAGCAGAAAGCAGTGGTGCTGGCACCACATGTTGGCCCCTTGTCATATGACATTAATATTACAGGTAGTTCTTGGTAACAAATGAACTTGCTGCAAACCAGTCTGCAAACGCTTAGAAATTCCTACTAATGAAAAGAATTGAAGTGTGAGAAACTGTACCCACGTTTACTACATTGATTCCACATTAGAAAGTACCTAGAAATCAAATATTGTATGTGTCTTACACAAGGATTAGTTCTTGGATGAAGTCTCCCAACAGACAAGCAAATCTACATATGCTGTCTATGCTACCAACAACGAAATAACGAAGTGTGAAATATACCCAAGGGACATAAAGATTGCTCCCTCCTTGCTGCCTGTGGAGAAGGGGAAAGAGCTCAGATAATTGGATCAGAGCACATCCCTGTTCAATATCAAAGGATGATGTCATGATACAATGGTAAAACTTAATGCATTCCCCTAAGAACATACTTCTAAAGCAATTTTCATACAGAGTCCACTAAAGAAGACAAAGAGGTTTTCAGCTGCTTGCTCTTGATAATTCTGAGATGCAATAGCATATAAACAGAATATTTAATGACTAGAAAACTAATGCTACTTTAGATAGGAAGTTTCTAAAATATATATCATTTTTCCTTCTAGGGCCTTTTCAGATGGACTGATATAAAGCAGGTCTCTTTTACAGTTGAAAGGGTATGATAAATAGCATCGTATAATTTTAAAATGGTGTACACAACATTTCAAAAGTAAATTTTCTATTGAAGACACAGCAGATCCAGAAGACATGATAATATGCTGTTGCATAAAAGTTTTATTGGTACTCATAACTCACTTGTGATTTCATTGTGCTCGTGGTCATTCTGAGCTTAACCTGCTTCGTATTTTATTCCACATCATTTTATACATTTTATATTCATAAGCATATAAATGCATCCATGTCTATGTCCAACCCTCCCCTCCCCCACCAATCTCCACGTCTGACAGATCATCATCTGTCAGTTTAAAGATGGGACAAGCACAGCTCCTAATTTTTGCAGGATATAATGGCAATCAAACATATTACAGCATATCAGCAGATGCACTGACCTACATTAGTAAGGATTTTCTAACATATCAATACCTCACCTGTGTATCTCAGTTTGGGTGGTAAAAATCAGGGAAATAATTTAATGCCATGAGTTTGCATTTTGAATGAAAACAGGGGAATGGCTGTGGTTACAAATAAGTATTTTTATCAACAATTTCAGAATGCAGCTCGGAAGCAGACACATAGAAGGCCCACTCAGTTTTAGAAAAGGAGTTCACATTTACAACTTACTCATTACTCTTTCTTTAAGCCCAACATAGGTGACTGGGGTGTGATCATCCCTCTGTACTCAGCTCTGGTGAGGCTGCATCTCGAGTACTGTGTTCAGTTTTGGGCCCCTCGACAATGAAAAAAACGTTGAGGCCCTGGAACGTGTACAGAAAAGGGCAACAAAGCTGGCAAGGAGTCTGGAACACACATCTTACAGGGAGGGGCTGAGGGAGCTGGAATTGGTTAGTCTGAAGAAGAAGAGGCTCTGGGGAGGCCATATCACACTCTTCAATTACCTGAAAAGAGTTTGTGGTGAGGTAGGTGTCTGCCTCTTCTCCCATGCAAGTAGCAATAGGACTAGAGGGAATGGCATCCCGTTGCACAAGGGGAGGTTCAGGCTAGATGTTATGAACAATTTCTCTGAAAAGGTGGTCAGGCATTGGAATGGGCTTTCCAGGGAGGTGGCTGAATCACCATTCTGGATGCTCTGAAGGTGTTCAAGAAATGTTTGGATATTGTACTAAGGGACATGGTTTGGTGGGGAAATATTGGTAATAGATGGACACTGGAACTGTATGATCTTGGAAGTCATCTCCAAAGTACGTGATTCTATGATTCTATTTCTTTAAGTGCAACACAGACAACTGGGGTTCCCTGAAGATATTGCTCTCTCCCCAGTTCAGCCCCATATACCAGAAGCAGCGAGGTTTTACAGTGCTTCCACTGCACTGGTCATAAATAGAGACTGAAGTGGGTGCAAAAGCCATAAAACAAGGTTTGAGGGACAGACAGGCTACTGAGATCCAGCTAGAATGGTTAAAGCCAATGGACAGCGTGCCAGTAGTGTTCCACCATTGCTTTTGCTCATTTTTATTGGTTACAAGCAGAAAGGTACGACACAATGAATAGGCAATTATTATCAGAGTTCTTTTGTGTTTCTGGAGTTCTACTGAAATCCTCCTTGACTTCAGGAGAAGCTTTACTACAAGGGCAACAGTATACTGGAATAGAGCACTTCTTGTAGTACTAAACAATATCATAATTGTTAATTCAGCTATTATCAACCACTAGT